TCACTGCGCCGCTGGCGGGCCCCTGGTGACCGCGAAGGGAGAACCAGACGGAAAGTCTTTCTCAACCGGGATCGCCCAGCCCTCGCTTCCTGGTGCCAGGGCCCCAGGCACCCGACTTCCGGGGCGGGACTTCCGGCGCCTGGGCCACGCGGGGGGCGGAACGCCGGCGGCTTCCCGGAGTCCCTTCCGATGAGTTGAATAATCCACCGCTGCGGTCCCGCTGCTTCCCGCGGCCCCGCGGTCCCGGAACCGCGACCCGGAGTCGGCAGCAGCTCCTCTCGCATATCTGCGGAAAGGCCATCGGCTGGGTGGGGTGCGCAGCGTCTGGACCCCGTGGCGCAGGGACCCCGGTGCACCTGGCGCTGGCGAGGGGACGGAGCCGCTACAGCCACGCCCCTCGAATTCTGCCTCTGTCCTCTGGAGTGTCGCTGGAGCCCCTGGGCCACAGGTGGGCGCTGAAGCGCTCGGCTGTGCGTGGCGCGCGGGAGGGGCCGCCGTCCGGGGGACCTCTTCTGGTGTCTAGGAGTACGGGCGGTGGCGCCGGCGGCAGCTCAGACCCTGGTCCTCGGTGGGTAGGAGGCTGGCGCCCCGCCGTCTTTCCGCCTGCGGGCATTGCTGTGTCGGGTCCCGGGCTTAGTCTGCACTGCCCTCGGCTTCTTGCAGTCCTTTGCTCGTGGAGGCTGACCTCCTCTCTGACTGCAGTTCTGCGTCCGATTCTTCAGCGCCCAGAAGTGAAGGCCCGTCCCTGCGAGGAGCTGGCTGGGACCTCTGCCCTGCCCGGAGGGCCCAGCCTTGGGCCGAATGGCAGCGCCCTCACTGGGCCACCTGGTGCTGGCCCACCTCCTGGTGGCACTCTTTGGCATGGGCTCCTGGGCTGCCGTCAACGGGATCTGGGTGGAGCTGCCCCTGGTCGTGAAGGACCTCCCCGAAGGTGAGTGGGCCTCGGGGGAAGCGGCCCGGTGTGCCTGGCAGGCTGCTCCAGGCCCATCTGTCACCTGGCCCTTCATGAGCCTTCCTTCCCCGCAGGTTGGAGCCTACCCTCCTACCTCTCTGTGCTGGTGGCGCTGGGGAACCTGGGCCTGCTGGTGGTGACGCTGTGGCGGCGGTTGGCCCCCAACAAAGGGGAGCGAGTCCCCATCCGGGTGGTGCAGGCGCTGAATGTGCTGGGTACAGCCCTACTGGCCCCTCTGTGGCACCACGTGTCCTCTGTGGCAGGGCAACCCTGCTCGGTGGCCTTCTTAACTCTGACTTTGTTGCTGGCACTAGCTTGCTGCGCCTCTAATGTCACTTTCCTGCCCTTCCTGAGCCACCTACCGCCTCTTTTCCTGCGGTCTTTCTTCCTGGGTCAGGGCTTCAGCGCCCTGCTGCCCTGCGTGCTGGCCCTGGCGCAGGGTGTCGGTCGCCTCGAGTGCCCACTAGCCACCGCCAACGGCACCCTGGGGCTTCCCCACTACTTCCCGGAGCGCTTCTCCGCCAGCTCCTTCTTCTGGACACTGACTGCCCTTCTGGTCACCTCAGCTGCTGCCTTCCAGGGTCTCCTGCTGCTGTCCCCGTCCCTGCTGCCACCACCATCTGTACCCCCAGGGGCCCCACAAGCTGGTCCTGAGGACGGGGAGGGAGAAGAGGTCTTGCCCCTGCAGGAGCCAGCAAGCCAGGCGGCAGACACCATGTCCAGCCCTGAGCCTGAGGCCCATAGGCTGCTGTCAGCCCGTGGCATCTGTCTGCTGGGCCTGCTCACGGTCACCAACGCGCTGACCAACGGCGTACTGCCTGCCGTGCAGAGCTTCTCCTGCCTGCCCTACGGACGCCTGACGTACCACCTGGCCGTGGTGCTGGGCAGTGCCGCCAACCCCCTTGCCTGCTTCTTGGCCATGGGCGTGCTGTGCAGGTGCGAAGGGACCCCAGACCCCTCGGGTGGAGTGTGCGGTTGGGGGTTGGTCCTGCAAGGCCAGCCCTGAGTCTCCGCTCCCTGCAGGTCCTTGGCAGGCCTGGCTGGTCTCTCTCTGCTGGGCGTGCTCTTTGGGGCTTACCTGGTAGCCCTGGCGATCCTAAGCCCCTGCCCACCCCTGGTGGGCACCTCTGCAGGAATAGTCCTCGTGGTGAGTACTGGGGCAGGGTGGGTGGCAGTGAGGGAGGGGCCGGCGTCCCACTCAGCCTGACACCATGCTTGCTCTCAGGTGGTATCCTGGGTGCTGTGTCTGGGCTTGTTCTCCTACGTGAAGGTGGCGGCAAGCTCCCTGCTGCATGGCGGGGGCCAACAGGCACTGTTGGCAGCAGGGGTGGCTATCCAGGTGGGCTCCCTGCTTGGGGCTGTCACCATGTTTCCTCCCACCAGCATCTACCACGTGTTCCACAGCAGGGAGGACTGTGTGGACACGTGTGGCTCTTGAGCAGGGCAGACGGGATCCTCACCTACCTGTCTTCACCTCCCATTATTTCATGGCCTTGGTGCCCACAGCCCCCCATACACTGGCACACTCTGGACACCTGCACACTCCTCAGGGGACCCTGGCACTCAGGCCAGGTAGGGACCAAATAGCAGGCCAGGATCAGGACAAGCCTGGGCTGCAGGCTTGTACCCTGCACCAAACTGGTGTGGAATTGGTATAATAAAGCCTTTTGTTCTTTGAATGGTCCTCATCGATATCACTCGGTGTCACTCACCTTCACACACACACACACACACACACACATGGAGTGGTGGCCCTGCCTGTCCATCCGTGGCCCCAGCCCCCCAAGGCAGCTGTTAGAGGTCTTGGCACACTGCCTGAGCCCAGGATTTCCTTCCTTGGACCTCCCCACCATAGAACTGCTCGGAGATGGGGTGGAGCCCCCTCCCAGGGCCCGGGCCAGTCTTCAGGACCTCCCCCACCCAGGACCCATAATCCACAGGGAGTTCCGAAGAGCAGTGGGGCGGACCCAGCTGGGGAGGAGGGTCTGGTAGGATGAGGCCGCTTCAGCTGGGATCCCTGTCTCTCCACATACTCCTGGGAACGGGTGCTTGCCCACTGGTAACTCAGGCCAGTGTTTGGTGCAAGGTGTGGGCTGTGGTAGGGGTTGAGTGAGTGACACTTGGGAGAGACAGCTGTGCGGTGCCAACCCATTCATCCCAGGACTTTCTGCCTAAGAATATACCCCGACCAAGGACCACCAACCTGCCCAGCTCTCAGTCAAGCTCTCAGATCCCTTTCCTTGAACAGCCCCAGCTGTAACTGCCTTCCTGGACCACTGGGCCCAGCAGCCCAAGCCCTGCCCCTAGCCCTGGGGTCACTTTGGCCTTGGCCCTGCTTCAACATGACCAGAGCTATCCTGAGCAGGTGGCCTGGGTCTCCCACTCAGACTGGAGTCACATGGAGGGGTATGTGGCTGAACCTGGCAGGCAGGGCCCCACGGTGGGGAGAGGAGAGGTGCTGGGGCACAAGAACAGGCTGGGTGCTGCCACCGCTTCTTGGCTCTGTGGGAGGCAGGCAGGTAGGAGAGGCTACCCAGTGGAGGCAGGGTGGAGCCGGGGCCTGGTCCAGCACGGTACCCAGACCCAGTCTCCACAGGACAAGGGAGGGGCCCCTGCAGTGAACAGATGAGGTGCTGACAGAGGTGGCTCCTGCCTGGCTGCTGCACACGCCCACTTGTTCTGGTCTCCGGATGCCTGTCCTGAACTTCAGAGGCCTCCTGGCCTTGATTTGGCCTTGACTTGGGCCTTTGAAGGGCTTCCTCTTCCTCCCTTCACCCCTCCCTCCCTGTCTGGGCAGGACTGGTGAGCAGGAGGCAGGGTCCTCTCAGGCCGGGACCACAGGAGCCCTGGTCTGGGGCTGTGGAGCTCCCAGCTGGCTCAGACCCAGCGCAGCCCTGAGGGTGGGAGACCCCCCAGCCCCATTCCTTCAGGCTGAGCAACACGAGGAGGGGTGAGGTGGCTTGATTTTGGAGGTTGCTTCCCTCTGGGGGCTGGGCTTTGGGTTGGGGGTGAGTGAGAAGAGAGTGAGGGCGTGCAAGAGGGGGTGGCGCTGGCACCAGCCCCTGGCAGCAGGCCCTGCTCCCCCCAGCTCCCAGTGCCTCCTGTGGAGCTCTGTGCATGGGGGCCCTCTGTGCCGCGTGGGTGGTGAGCCAACAAGTGTGTTTGGCTTGAGGGCCACTTGGTCTGCTCTCCTGGACAGAAGAGGTGGGCAGCCCTAACCTAGCAGGCTGTGGGAGGAGCGCAATCCCCTTTGAAGTCCCCACAGGCCTTCCTGTAGGTGCCAGCAGGAGGCAGGGCAGGGGTCAGACTAAAGAGAGGAGGAGCCAGGTCCTGAGAGAGACCCAGGCTGCCTGGCCCCAGGGAGCCCCTTGAGGCAGGAGGGCCCACCGCCCTGGTCCTGCCCCTTTGGAACTGAGAACCTGGCCCCCCACCTCTGCTGGACGGCATGGTGGCTGGTAGCCTCTGAGACTCATAGCCTGCCCAAGGGCCCTCCCAGGGCTGCAGGCATGAGGGAGTTAGAAGAAGACTCCAGAAGACGAGGTATCAGCCGAGGCAGGACTCCTGGTGCTTGGCCATCTCCAGAGGGCAGTCCCTCGGGTGGGCAAAGCCTGGCTCCTGAAGCTGCCCACTACTGTGCCACAGGGAGCTGGAAAGGGGCCAACCAGGCCGTGGCCTGCAAAGGTAGCCTCTTAAATGTGTGTCTGTTTCCCCGTCCCCAGAGTGAGCCCCCAGGGTAAGCAGGGCTCATGTGGCCAATCGAATGAAGGTGGAGGGCCTCCTTCCCCTGCCCCATGCTCTCAGCCTATCAGAACCCAGGCAGGTGTGGCATCCTGTGTGGCTGCAGATATGGCAGTACCTGGTGTCCCTTCTTGCACACCTGCTCAGAGCCCACTGCCTGTCAGGACGGTGGTATTGAAGGGCCTCCAGGGGAAACCCAGCCAGCTTCTGTGGTGTGGGAGCAGCTGGTTATGGTAAAGGGTGGGTGTAGGTCATTGGCAACTCCAGCATCGTCACTGTGGCCACCCCGGTGGCCTTTCCCTCAGGGAAGCTTGCTGACTACCCCATGGGGCCACTTTGCCCTGCCCCTGACTCAACGCCCTGGCTTCATTGTCCCCACTGCACCTTCCAGGGACCCAGAGGCCATTGGGGCTCTGGAGGGGCTGTCAGTCACACCCCACTGTCCCCACCATGTGAATGGGCATGTGACCTAGCTAGGTGGGCAGTGAGCCCTGTGCAGCCACTCACAGTCCACTGAGAGATTGGAGAGAGGCAGAGCCGGATAGCACTCTGTGGTCACCTGGATCCAGCTGTGTCTGGAGTTGCCACTTCCATGGACCCCACACCTTACTTGCTTAAGCACACGTGAGTGGGTTTCTTCTGGGTTCCCAGCTGAGGACAGGCGGAAAGCCATGGCCTCTTGTTCCCTACTTGAAGCGTTGGGGCAGCTCAGATCACAGGGTCCTGCCCTAGTTTGCATTCCTTAATGGCTTTAGCCTTTGACGTGGGCTCGTTTTACGTCTGTGTGACAGCCATGATTGTACTTTTGGTCTAAACGTTATCTTTCAGCAGTTTTGAAAATTTTCTATTCTTTAGGGAAATGCAATTCCAACCCACAGTGAGCCCCACTGCAGGCCCATGGGATGGCTTGAAGCAAAGTCAGCCACAAGGCTTCATATATAGGGGCTGTGAAGCAAGCCAAGCCCGCTGCCCTTCTGGCAGTAGTGGGCTCCTCAATCAATCAGGCAGAGTTACCGTGTGACCTCGCAATTCCACTCCCAGGTGTATACAGACACACCCAAGAGAATGAAAACGCATGTCCATACAGAACCTGGTATGTGGATGTTCGTAGGAGCACAAGTCATAACAGCGAAAAAGTGTCCACCGACTGACAACAGAGAAATGAAACGTGGCCCATCCATACAGCACAGCACCATCCACATACACGCAACACGGATGAACCTTGAAGATACACTCCATTCCCCACCATCCTGTGAGCCCATTCCAGTTTCTGCCTCTATGAAAACATATGCATATAGATTGTCTATCTACCCTATTAAAAGAAGCACTGGTGGTGTAGTGGGTAAGGCATTTGGCTGCTAACCAGAAGGTTGGTGGTTCAAACCCACCAGCTGCTCCATGAGAGGAAGATGAGGCAATCTACTTTCAGAGATTGACGGCCTTGGAGACCCAGTGGGGGTCACTGTGAGTTCAAATCAACTCAATGGCAGTGGGTTTGGTGGTTTTTGGAATCTACCCACTTGGCCCTAATTCTCATGAGCATCCTATCTGGACCATAAGGGAATGGAATGGACAAGTGTGTGCTAACAAATGACAGAGCCTGGATGAGATGAGGAAATGACAGGGAAGATGCAAATTACTTGACGAGAGAGAAAGGGACCATCGGGATGGACCTGCAACAGCTGCAGAGACCGGTCCAGCAGGGGAAGACCTACCCAAATAAAGCCCAAGCCCAGGTGACCTCCCAGTGGATTCTACCAAATGGTGAGAAATTGACACCATGGCTTCAACACTCTCCCAAAAAATACAAGAGGAGGGGTCCTTCCAAACTCATTCTATGAGCCCCTGTTTCTCACTTACCAAAACCAAAGATACCAAAACAAAACAAAAACTTGAACCAATATCCATTATGAATGTACAAAAGTTCTTAACAGAATACTAGCAGACTGACTCTAGCTGCGCACAAAGCTGCATATACGTGAGGAGCCCGTGGGATTCTTGCAAGAATGTAAGGTTGTCTTGATATGTAGACATCTACATAATGACACTGGTGTGAGTCTGAGAGCTCTAGTAGCCTCCAGGAAAATCTTTAACCAGAAACCTTTTAGTGTCAGCATTACTAACAGAACTTTTGGACTCTTTAGGGCCTTTATCTGCCCTCCAGTCTCAGCAAGTATCAAGGAACTTCCTCCGAACTCAGCACGCATCACAAAAGCCATCCGGATTCAGCACGTATCAGAGATTTGCTCGACTCCTGAAAGTCTCCCACATACCTGAGCCGCATCCTCCCTAGATAATATTTTCCTAAGTGAACTTTGGAGGCGGGGGGTTTCTTTACGTCTCCCAACATCTTAGATCACTGCCCTAAATCCCTTAGCAACAACCAATCATCTGTATCCTCTTGCCCTGGTGCTGCCCCTCCCCATATTGTTCCATAAATTTGTGAGAATACCGGAGCACAGGGTCTTTTGCTTAAGCCACTGACCTGGTAAGGGCAAAGACCTTAACTTAAGTTAGCTAATAAACTTTCCTATTGCATTTGCATTGTCGTGTGTTGGCATATTCCTCTCCGAGCATCTCCTTCATAACCTGGGTACAACATTTGGTGCGTTGGCCGGGAAAGGAGGATTCCGATCGAGTGAAGTCGCCACCACGACAGTAGGAGAGTTTCAGGAACTGGAGCCGGCTGGACTAGATACG